GTGACTGATGACGTAGGTGCTGTGATTAACACAATGAACAGGGGCCAGGATGTGATGGATGCTGGGATGTTTGATGAGTATGGGTCTAATATGCTTAATCCACCTTCGGGGTTGCATAAACGTCCCTTGGAGGCCATTGAGGGTGAGGTGGGTTCCCCTCCCACACCCAAGAAACAGTTTGCGGAAAGTGCTGAAGTTCATGATAAGGTGGAGGAAGCCAGCCTGGAATGGCCCCAGTCGGATAAATGAGGCTTCTAGCCTGGAATGTGAGAGGCATTGGACCTTCCCTCACATTCCAAACGGCTTTGGGTTTGGTCCATTCGAATAAGCCGAATCTCGTGTTTTTTTCCGAAACGCGATCGAGCCGGCGAGTTGTTTCCCGCCGTATGCGGGGTTTAGGTTTTGATATTTCTCGGTGTTTTTTGTGGATGCGCTTGAGGCGTCTGGTGGTTTAGTCGTTGCGTGGTCCCTGGAGATTGATACTTCGGTGTTTTATTCTTCCAACTTCTTATTTTTTCCCAAATTAATGAAGTGAATTTTTCTTATATCGTGGTTTGTGTTTATATAAGCTGTTCTGCTACAACTCGAGCCGCCCAATTGGCGTAGCTCCGGGAAATCTGTGCTGCTTTCCAGCTTCCCTATGTGGTTATAGGCGACTATAATACTACCCTTAGTGCGAGTGAAAAGAATGGTGGTAACCCTTGGAATGTCAATAATTCGATCAGTCTGCGAGATTTTATCCATGACCTGGGGCTACATGACCCGGGTTACCAGGTTGACCTCTTCACCTGGACGAATAAGAGAATGGGTTCTGCCTGCTTCCAGGAACGGTTGGACCGAGCCCTCTGCTCCCATCTTTGGATTGACCGATTCCCTGAAACTCTGGTCAACACTTTACGGATCAAGGCTCTGATCATAGAGTTATTCTCCTGTCTGATAAGCCTTATATTCGGAATAGCCGCCCTCTCTTCCGCTTTGATGCCCGGTGGGCGGATAATCCTGAAGTAGGGGCTATGGTTAACTATGTCTGGCAGGAGGATATCCAGGGTACCCCGATGTTCTGTCTATGGGAACGCCTGAAGAAACTTCGTCATCTCTTGTATGACTGGAGTAGGGCAGGAACTACTAATTCCTTGCGGAATATACACAACCTTCATAGTGAAATTGATAGGGTTAAACTAGTCACCCAATTGACTGAGATATGGTCAGGGACCTAGAGATCGAACTCAACCGGCAATGGGAGGCGGAGGAGATCTATTGGCAGCAGAAGTCCAGGGTCCATTGGTTGAAAAAAGGGGATAAAAACACATCCTACTTTCATACAGTGACTAGGGCTCGTCGTAAAAGAAATTTTGTGACCGGACTTCGTGATGAAAATGGGGAGTGGATCACTGATGAATCTGGGAAAGCTGTATTGCTATTTCCTTCTACCAACACCTCTTCACTACAGAGAACCAGGTGTCTAACATGGCTGTCCGGGTGGCTTCTTTGCCTATCTCGCGTAGTGTTACCCCTGAGATGAATGACAGTCTAACGGCTGCTGTTCTTCCTGCTGAAGTCCGCAAAACAGTGTTTGCTATGGGATCGAAGTAAGCGTCGGGCTCGGATGGGTTCACGGGTAAATTTTTCAAAGCCTTCTGGGACATTATGGGGGAGTATGTAGTTACGGCGGTTTGCTCGTTCTTTGCTACTAGTCGGATGCTCCGGAGCTTCAATCATACTTGGCTCACACTAATACCCAAGGTCGAAAATGTGGAGACTATGCGTCAACTGCGCCTGATTAGCTTATGCCAGTTTGTTTATAAAGTTATTACTAAGATCATGGCAGAGCGTCTTGCCTGCATCCTGCCTAGTATTATCTCTGAGGGCCAAAATGCGTTCATCCGTGAACGTCAAATTGTTGAGAATATCCTCCTTGGGCATGAGTTAATGCACTATCTGAAAATCAAAACGCGGGGTAAGAAAGGGTACATGGCTCTAAAGGTTGACATGGAAAAGACCTATGATAGATTCGAATGGCCCTTTCTCTTTGCGATTTTGGGTAAGATGGGATTTAACTCCACTTGGCAAGGATGGATTAGTGAGTGCCTCAGATCTTCCTCTTTTACTGTTCTTATGAATGGGACCCCTTCGGGTTATTTCACTCCTTCCCGGGGGCTGCGGCAAGCGGATCCTCTATCCCCTCTCTTGTTTGTGCTTTGCATTGAGGGCTTTGTGGCGCTCCTTCGCAAAGCTATTTCGGAGAAACGTGTGGAGGGGGTAAAGGTAGCCCCTCGTGCTCCTCGGATATCGCATCTGTTCTTTGCGGATGATTCGTATTTGTTCTTGCGCGATACTCTCCGGGATTGTGAGAATCTGATTGAGGTCTTGAATGAGTATGAGGAATTGAGTGGCCAGAGGGTGAACCTGGCAAAGTCGGCGGTCTTCTTTAGTAAGAATATTGTCCGCGCGGACCAGGACTTCTTGGCTGCGGTGCTGGGTGTCGGGGCAGTGGGGGTCCAGGATAAGTATTTGGGTTTGCCGACGTTATTTGCTTAGTCCAAAATGGCCACGTTCAGGTATTTGGAGGAGAAATTGCTTGAGCGACTCCAGGGTTAGAAGCAGCGGACTCTGTCGTGGGAGGCCAAAGAGACTTTGATTAAGTCGGTTGCTTTGGCATTGTCGCTTCATGTTATGTCATGTTTTAAGCTTTCTCTCTCACTGTGTCGGCTCCTGGATAAGCATGTGGCCTGATTCTAGTGGGGGGATGCTGAGAATCACTATCGGATTCGGTGGATGTCTTGGCGGAATCTATGCCGAAGTAAACATGATGGGGGGCTAGGATTTCATCGATTTGAGCAATTCAATCAAGCCTTGCTTGCCAAGATTGGGTGGCATATCCTTATGGACCCTCAATCTCTTCTAGCTCAGGTTTACAAGGGCAAGTATTTCCCCACTGGGTCCTTCCTTGATGCCTCAGCTCGATCCCGGCCCTCATGGGGATGGCAGAGCATTTTATTTGGTAGGCAGTTATTGCTGAAGGGATTAAGATGGCAGATTGGAAATGGCCAAAGTGCGTCTCTACTTAACTCTAACTGGATCCCTATGCTCCAATTCGACCCCCTAGATACAACCCTCGGGTTTTGTCGGAGGGTGGAGACCCGCCAGTTGCGGAAGTTATGTGTCCTGATGCGGGGTGTTGGGATGAGCGCAGACTCCATCAATGGTTTGACCCTCCGACCTGTCAGGCCATTCTGTCTATCCCTCTGCCGCGTCAGAATGTGGCTGATAGGCTAATCTGGCATGCTACTGCGGATGGGGTCTTCACGGTCAAGTCTGCGTACCATCTAGTGGTCTCGATTGATAGGTGAAGGGAGGGCTGGCGATCCACGGTGGGCTAGATGGTAAAGCCTCGTGGGTCCGATTGTGGGACGCGGACATACCCCCGAAGCTTAAAATCTTTGTCTGGCAGATTCTCAATCGAATCCTGCCTACTACTGAGACCCTTATTGAGAAAGAGGTCCCTGTGCACCCCAGATGTCCAGTTTGTTGGCTAGTGCGGAAACGATGGAGCACTTGTTCCTTGATTGCCCGGTGGCTCGTGCCCTTTGGGATTATTCTGGGCTGGCATATCTAGGGGAGGGGCTCCCTCGTCATACCTTCCCTTTGTTCCTAAAACGTTTAATGGCTTTGATTCACCAACCTACTCTGTTTATGGCGGTGGTGGCTATCCTTTGGCGGATATGGCGGTCGAGAAACAAGGTCGTCTTTGAGGGCAAGCAGTTTGGGTTCTCTGCTCTGATGCGCCAGTTTCATCAACAGTACGAGGAGTGGATCCGTTTACCGGTGGATAGGGCTCCAATGGCGAGTCCTCATGTGGTGGGTCCCCATGGGGCACATAGCCTGGGGCCTATAGGAGCGGACAGGATTGTTTGTATGTGAGATGGGGTTGTTCGGCGGGGATCGCATTAGGCGGGAGGGGTGGTTCTTTTCACTCCAAGTAGAGCTGTCTGGTTGGGGGAATGGGTTCATTTTCCTTGCCTAGATGACCCTTTGGTGGTGGAATTGGTTGTCCTCCGCGAGGCGGTTCTTTGGTGCCTTGAGCTTGGCCTGACGGATGTGAGCTTTGAAAGGGATGCCAAGGTTGTGATTGATAAGATTAACCAGGCGGACGCCAGAGATAACCGTGTTGGGGCTGTTCTGGAGGAACTTATGCAGTATTTTAATAATCTCACGGGTTTAGTGTTCGATCTGTAGGTCGCCGTAGTAATAGGGTAGCCCATATGGTGGCTCGTAAAGCCCTCTCTTTGTACCCGACTATGAGCCGTTTCTTTGATTTTCAGGTCTGGCTGTATTCTAGGGTGTAACTATCTTTTGCTTGAATCAATATAAGATCATCTATTGTCAAAAAAAAAAAAAAATGATTCGGTCCAGTACAGAATCAGCATAGAACCAGCTTGGATATAGTCATGGCAGTCATTGAGTCATTTGAATTACCACTCCATCTACAATGGATTGGATCTCCAAATATCAAGAACAAGTCATTGATGTTTGGCAAAGCCTTAGAGCAGTATGATTGTGCACCTGGGTATTGCTGCACCAAGTCAAATGGTGTATAAGATTGCTCCGGTAGATAACTGTTTATATTGTCAGAAAATCTAAATAGCCAAAATGGGCACCTGAAGACAAGCATTCCACAGACAAGTCCTCAGCTCTTATCCCTTCTTGAATTTCGTCCCAGGAAAAACCACTCTGATCAAGTAGCAGTTTCATACCATTGAATTGCTTCCCCAGATATACAAACCGACTTTTCAAGACATCTTTGTTATGACAAGGGCCAATCTCAGCAGTGAACTTCTTGACCATGTAGCTTCCATGCTAGATTACTAAAATTCCGACAGGACATACTTCCATGTCGAACGTGCACCAGCATCAAATCGATAAAAAAAATATCAACCCATATCAGGGGGTGTAATCAACAGCGCGGGAACCACCAAGTTTGGTTTCTAGGAAAAATTCCAGCAGAGAGAATAGTCGGGAGGATTCAAATTTGTAACTGGCCCTTCATTCCAGCAGCAACGATATATATTTTTATTCCAAAGATTACAGGCCATTTGTTAAAATACAACATGGAAATAGGAAAAGGAACACCCCCTTAAATTCCAAGGGCAATCCACCCACCCCCAAACGTCTAGTGTATAAACTGTATATGCAAATTAGGGGCTATGAACCCCAAAAGCTTCTATGTTACAGCTTGCTCTCTATGCCAAAAAATGGACAACACTTCAAAGGGGAGAAGAATAATGAATGGGAGGCTTGAGAGATATCTTGCCTGTCTTTTGTCAAACCAGGATCCATATGGCGATAAGCCACACAGGCCAGTTTGGATTGAGAATACCGTGTCAATTCTTTCACTACCCTGACAAACCATCATTGTGGCAGCTGGCAGGGGCGCAACTTTGGCTCGAGCCCCTCACCCACGGTGCTGCATACATATATGACTTCTTTCAGTAGTTGGTCTCTGCTAAAGAGACAGTAGAACAATGATCTCCATGAGTGCTCAGCTGAACCGCTGCATCTTTCATCATCATCCAACGTGCAAGCGAGGAAGATTTGGCGCATTGCAACTAATCAAATTAGCCCATAGGTTTGCAAGCTTGACCAAGTAATGGCTCCCATTCCAGACAACGGTTTCCATCCCTGTTCAAAGACAACAAGATGGTTAAACAGACTATGGCAAACACTTGTAAGAACAAATTAGCAATCTCAGCTTGGAAACTCAAATGATTGAAGTCTCCAACTTTAATCTTTAGTAGCTTAATCCTAGAATATGCACGAAGTCGGTGCTTACCCGGTACTACTGCTGGATTAAGACCTGAGAGTTGACAGGTGTAGCCTTGTCTGGAGAAAACAATCTCGTAAAGTGCATCATCCTCGAGATTACGAAGATGCTGAATGGATTCCAGTAATGCCTTGACAGAACCATCAGAAATGCTTAAGAGAGCTTCTTCCAGTCCCGAGCTTGACCATAGAGCAGAACACTCGCTCATCATGGTGTTGAAGGATACGGAGTCGGTCTGTTCCAGCAATATCCATGGCTTATAAAGCCTGGCAGCGCATCGAAGAATTTCAGAAACTCTATAAATTTCCCCAAGAGCAAGGAAATATCTTTTTCCTGTATTAGAGAAAAGAATTTTGAGTACTCTGCAACAATCATTGAATTGAGTTCCATACAAGATGATTGTTATTATACCTTCAAAGCTTGTGAGAACTTGATCTTGAATGTTTTCTTGCAGCAAGTGGCTCCAAATCATTGAACCGTGTTTCAGCTCTTCAGCACATTGATAGAGCATCTTAGACCATGTGCAAATGTAGCTCGTTTGTTCCTGCCTGGATACTAACGTCAAAATCTTTAACAATGAAACCACCTTCTTGAGAAGTAGGAGTGTAGATTTTGAGTCGTTATGAACCTATCAGAAGATTGAAATAATAGTTTAGACCAGTCAAACACAATCTAACCAAACTTTAGCTGGTAAAAGAGACCTTCAACCTTCTAGAAACAAAAGAAAGGGACTGCCGCTTGCTTCATAACCACGTCGAGCTATACCATTTTGTTTCTGTGTGATATCAAATTTATTCTTCGCCAAGGATAAGTATGCTGATATCCTAAATCTAGCATTAACTGTCCTTTTAAAGAATGAGAGTTAGTATTGTGACGCACCTGCGACACTTTTCCTGATAACTGATATTCTGACTCAATGACTTGAAACTTTGGTTGCTGCAACATTTCAAACAATTCACTTGTTCGAATTTCACATGGCAACTGATCTCCTGAATGAACTTCAGCAATAGTGCTGCATTCACGCAGTCCATTATGCATATCCTACAATAGCATAGAGAATACAAAAGTTACTTTCAAATTGTATTGCCATATCCACATGCAGGACTTGAATAAAAAGGTAAAAGAGCAACATAGAAGGAAGAAAAGGATAACAACAAATGCTCCCAAATCACAGGAATCTCTCATCAATTCGTTGCTATTTAATCTATCACTGAACTAGAGATGCCACCAACCTGTATTTCCTTATCCAGGTGGCTTACATCAGCATCCTCACCAGCAAGAGCTGCAGCAGTACGAGCTTGCTAAGAAAAATTCAAACCCATTGTAAGTAATCCTTCAAAAGAGAAGAGTTTGATTTCTTAGAGGCGAGGGTGTTTGGATACATTTAGCAAGTCCACCAACCTTCATATTTTCAACATGTTTGAATGCAACAAGACATAATTCTTCCATCAGTTTGGTAAATAAGTCTATCCAATCAGAATGCTCTATGTTACTGGCCTCAATTGTAGAATCTTTGGGGAAAGATTGTTGCTCCTCGTCAATGGGTACTGCAGAGGCATCTTTGAACTCCCAGGAATAATCGTCGTCCAGAATTGCAGCATCATTTGATGAATTGGAAGCAAATGCAATTTCTGTGGGGCACCATCCATTTTCATCCTGATTCTGTAAGTGACTGGCAGTAGCCGTTTGCTCAACTTCATTGTACAAACTTGATACCAGATCATTAATAGAGAGACTGGAACTAAGACCCCTATTGTCTTCTCTTGTTTCTGGAGCAGAAATCTGAACCGAAGTGACTTCATAAAAAACGGGATCATTGGGCTCTGTTTCTTCATCACCAAAAAGTGACAGAGGCAAGGCTCCGTTATTGTCGCTACCCCTTATTTCAATAGCCTATGATCAAAAGGGAACGAGTGTCACCAGAAAGAATAGATTTTATGAAGTCAAAATATCAAAGACACTTCAAATATTAATCTCTTTGCTCCTAGTCTGAACATGAAACGAAATATACAACAAAAGAATTCCGATTTCAGGGTGAAATAGACGAAACAAAGTCCAGAGATATAAAGCTCATTGAGGAGACCAAAAGTTAAACTGGAATCAGTTAATAGTTTTCTGCTTTACAATTCAGGTAGATAAAACAGATGTAGTATGTTAAACAAGAAAAAAAAAATCAACTAAAGCTTTCCTTTTACCTTACTACTCAAATCAATGGGCGTTGATTCTGATTCTGCAACCTTGAATTCCCAGTCATCCTCACCCTCATCCTCGGTTTCAGTAATTATAGTTGGGTTCAACCGTTTTGTATCTGAAATCTCTTCTTTTGCATCCCAATCAGTAGCAAACAGATTTGGACTTACACCACCACCACCATCCAATTTGGAAATATTCAGACTTGAATCAAATACAGTAGATTGCAATTTTGGGCCATTTTCCATTTTCCCCGCGGTACCCTGAACAAATTGAGTGACAATTATAGTCAGAAATGAAAAAACTTATCTTTCTTGTAGCTTGATCGGAATGCACGATAGTAAAAAATAAAGGCAGGAAATCAAATAGCAAAAACAATTAATACCTTGTTATACTAACATCTATTCTTTGATAGCTGACCAGTCAACTACTTTAATGAGGAGCAGCAACAATAGTGTTTGCAAAAACAAGATTTTTTTTATATGGATTCAGATACACTGACATTTTTGCTTCTCCTATTATGGTGTTACATTTAGTCATGATGTTAACAAATCCAGGTTACAAAATTTAATTGACGGACAGACAGACAGAACAGAATCAATTGATTTTATAGAATCACACATTTAACTAGCATCTCCAACTTACTTGCAAGTCTGATTCTGCTTTCATGAAGGCCCAACCATCCGAATCAGCAAATCCATCATTCTCAGGCAATAATCCAGGATTCACACGTATCACATCTGCGTTCACTCCACCTAAGCTTGAATTAAAGCCATTAGAATCTGGATGCTGCAGTAGATCCCAAATTAAAATTAGAGCTCTTAAGATTCATCTTTGAAACATCCTCAGATATTGAATCAACGTTCTGAAATTTCCCATAAAACAACTAATATAACCCAGGTTTCAAAGAACAAAGTATTCTAATTTCCATGCAATCCCAAATAGACAAATCTAAAGGGAAGAACTAGTGCAGCAAATCATAATGAGACCCAAACAAGCTGGATTCATCGAGGAAAGAGAGTGTCGAATGGGGTCGAGAAAAACAATCTACCTTGATTTTCTCTGTTGGGACACCTGCAACAACAATGCCCCAAGCATCATTGCTAGAAAGCTCTTTCATTTCACTAACTTGGCCATTATTCAACCAATTGTCACTCTGATCAACTCTATTCGCACTCGTATTCCATCCAGAAAAGTCCAAATTCGCCCCATTCAAACTAGAGTTCAGCTCACTGGGATGAAAATTCAGCCCATTCTGATTCTTCATCTGCTCTGGCTGTCGTCGATTCACAGAGACATACACATCAAAACATATGGAAGATAAATAAAAGTGGCAACCTTTTTCCTATCTACAGAAAACAAACGATGAAACCAATGCCTGAAATCTATCAGTACTATTAACCTATATAAACCAGAACTGCAGGCTAGACACGTCAAAAAGGAATATGAATGTTCAGGAAAAAAACAACTCGGGGATATATTCAAGTTACCTTAAAATTATTTTCCACTTTGGATTCAGCGGCCTTAAATTCCCAACCATCATCATCTCCTTCTTCATCAAACCCTCCATTACCATTCGCCGCATTTGAACCATTGCTCATCGCATCTGAGCCCAAATTCGACCCTTGCACAACCGAACCAGACAAATTGCCGTTCAATTTCCACCCATTTGAATTCAAGTTCAACGGATCCGAGTCCGTGCTCACTAGCTTCGAATCCGATTTCAGCTCACTTTTCCCATTTCCCATTACAGATGCATTCCCCCAACTCCAACTCGGATTCGCTCCGACTCCATTTTCAATACTTGCCGTGACAGAGCCTGTCCCGATCCCGTTCGGCTTGTATAAATTAGCAATAAAATCGTTAACATCTAGATTACCCGTCTTCTTCTTCTTCACGGATGCCGCATTCTCACAAGAGGGAAAACCGGCAACCGATTCCCCCTTCTGTTCTCCTGCTCCTGCTCCTCCTTCGTCTTCCTCCATTTCTCCAAACAGAGAAAGAGGCAAAGCTCCCAAAGACTTCGTCCGACCATGAGCTGATCCAGGCTGATCCTCCGTCCGTAGAGACGCGGTATCCTCGTCGCGCTTGCCGTCGTTAAAGATTACGAACAGGTCCGAAGGGTTCAGAGCCTGAGGAAGGGTCGCTGCGTGTGATAATACGCCGCCGCCGGAGGAATTGATGAAATCACCCCAGTCATCGTCATCCAAATTGGAAGTCATGGCGGCCGTGGCGAGGAATTCGGAGATGACGGTTGCCGAATTCGGCGACGGAGGAGGATGCCCGAAGGTGATGAATTCCCCGAATCCTTCTTATTCGCCGTCTTCCGTCGTCGTCATCGTCGATCGCCATTTTCCATGGCTCCCTCGCTTTGCTCTGTTTTCTTTGTCGGCCTCCCTCCCTCTCTCTCTCACTCTTCCCGCGGCTCTGGTTTTGCGGGTATCGTGCTGCGTTTTCTGTTAGTGCGCACGTTAGGGGAAGTGCGCACATTGTTGCTTTTGAATGGGCCAGACCATTGTAAATTTTGTCCAATGGGCTTCAATGCTGGATCATCAGCCCACAAGATTTTAGAATCAAAACAAGCAAGTGCTTTCATCCTACTTGACCCCTGCGATTTAGTCAAGGTTGTCACCGCTGAGATGAATGTGCAGCTGACGGCTTCAGTCACTCAAGAGGAGATTTATGACGTTGCCTTCAGCATCGGCAAAATCCAAGCTCCAGGGTGCGATGGCTTACAACAGCATTTTACCAATGCGGTTCTTTCCTTCTTCACCGAGGCGGTTCTTTCCTGAAGTGGCCTGAAGTACAACCTGCTGTCACCGAGTCGGTTCTTTCCTTCTTCAGCATTGGCCGCCTCCTCCACAACGTCAATCATACGTGGCTGGCCCTCATTCTTAAGGTGCCCAATGCGGATTCCATGCGCCAGATGCGGCCAATCCGTCTTTGTCAGGTTTTGTATAAGATTATTGCCAAAGTACTTGCTTCTCGTGTTAGTGTCCTTCTCCCCCTCATTGTCAGTCCTTATCAAAATTGGTTTATCCGAGGTCGTTCAATTACTGATAATGTGTTGATTGCTCAATAAATTATGCAATTTTTAAAAACCAAATTTCTGGGGAAAGAGAAGTGGATGGCGTTAAAGTTAGATATGGAGAAGGCGTATGACCGTGTTGAGTGACTTTGAAGCTATTAGTGGACAACATGTTCATTTGCAGAAATCTGCGATCTTGGTGAGTCACAATGTGTCCGAACAAGAATTGCAGGACATCACCTCCTTCTTAGAGGTCTTCACAATGGTACACGGTGACAAATATCTTGGGTTGCCTTCCCAAGTTCAGCGTTCCAAGATGCAAACTTTTCATTTTGTGAAAGAGGCATTGGCCAGCCACATCCGGAGTTGGAAGTCCAAAGGCTTGTCCTTTGTTGGGAAGGAGGTTGTCATCAAGGCGGTGGGCTCTGTTGGCCCCGTTTATGCAATGTCTTTCTTTCGTCTTCCATCTTGGACATGTCATCGTTGTAATAGTCTTCTTGCGCGCTATTGGCGGGCTGGTCAGGATAAGGAGAATGGATTAGATGGCTCTCCTGGTCGGCGGCGTGTCATAGTAAGTTTCATGACGGGCTCGGATTTCGTGATTTTGACCTTTTAATGTTGCGTTACTCGCTAAACAGGCTTCGAGAGTTCTTCAGAGTCCTACCAGTTGCTTGGCGGGGATCTATAAGGCTCGTTATCATCCCCACCATCATTTCTTGGAGTCAAAAGCAGGCTTCCGTCCGTCCCGAGCGTGGCAGGGTATGCTTGAAGGGCGTGACCTTCTTCTTCGCGGGCTACGTTGGCAGGTCGGTTCTGGTCATTCAATTTGGGTTCTTGATTACAAATGGTTATCGAATTCTCCCCCTTCATCACCTCTGCCTCTTCCGGGGGTCTCTGTTGCTAACTTGTGGGTAGCTGATTTGATTGAGTCTGAGCGCCACTGCTGGAATCGGGACCTCCTGGGAAAACTATTCCCTTCGTCCACTATTTAGTTCATCTTGGGCATTCCACTCGCCCTTTTTCCTTCGGAGGATCGATTGCTGTGGCATTATTCTCCTTCTGGTGAATACACAGTCAAAACAGGTTATCAAGTTCTCACTAACGAGCTTCTTGCGCGTGTTCCCTCGCCTGTGTTGCCCTTTGATTGCAGATTCTGGAAATACCTTTGAATCTTGCCGATGCCGTCAAAATTAAGGAATTTCTCAAGGCGCTTTGTCCGTGGGTTCTTACCCATTATGACAGTGCTACTCCATAAGAAGCTAGTGACTTCCACGAAGTGCCCTGTTTGCTCGGCTTGGGAGGAAACCTTCAGCATTATTCTTCCAGTGTTGAATTACCACAGGGGTGTGGTGCTTGCTGGGAAAGAGACTCTTCTTCTTTAACTAGCACCACTTGACCTCAATAAAGCAGTTAAAATCGGGATTTTACGTAAAATCGAAAACTGGGGTAAAATCGGAATCGTAAAATCGAATCGTAGAATCGTAGGTTTAAGTACCATATAGAAATTAAAATATAATAATATTAATAAGGTAAATAATTAATAACACAAAGACTTATAAAATTTAAAGTGATAATTTTCAAGATTAATGTTCCAAAATCATCATTTTAATTGTTATTTAATGTGTAACTCAAAATAATTTATGAGGAAGGGATAGAGCTGATGGGGTTTGGCTCTTGTTTTTCATGTTGTGTCTAGGTAGTTTAACTCAAAGTAGTATTCCGACATCAGCTACTAAGCATGATTTAAAACTAAGAATAACTGAAATCCAATAAAATAATTAATGTCATTGGCTTGGTACAAATATATTCATTAATTAAATAATTTGTTAATAATTATGTTAATTCTTACGCACTTACAATATTCTGACAATTGTTTTACCGATGAGTTAAACAAGGAGAAGGGAAAGGGGTTGACCGAACCCTAATTAGTTTTTCTTCTTCTTTTCAAATGTTCTTTTAATAGGAAAAATATATGAGAAGATTCCCCGTCATTGCCCTTTCCACTGAAACAGTTTTGCTTCTTTTGAATTGGCTCAAGCTCCCTATTTAGTTCACATAGGATCAAAATCTCGATTTTGGTACGATTCTACGATTTTAACGATTTTAATCCCGATTTTGAACGATTTTAAGGTCCACCGATTTTATAGTAAAATCAGGATCGGAATCCCTAAGTAAAATCCTAAAATCCTACGATTTTACGATCAAAATCCCGATTTTCACCTCATTAGTATTTGGAAAAGCCTATTATTTTCTCTTCCTCTGTCCAAATTGCAGGTGGCGGATGTTGTTTTCTTGTTTTGGAGGATCTGGAAAGGAAGATGTTGGGCTGTCCATGGTGGGATTCAATTCCTTCCTCCAGCATTACATCGTCAATTTGTTCTTCCAATGGAGGAGTGGCGTACTACATCCTCTTCTAACCCTTCTCGATCAGTCTCACATCCTCGAGATGCTTGACCACCCCTAACAGGGACTCTCCACTCCATGTTGACGACGGCAGCAGTGCCTCCCCCAACGACAATAGGTGCTGGAGTGGGTTTTGATGACACTTTTCTTGCTAATCTGTTGGCTTTTCGTGATGCATTAGACTGGTGCTTATCCCATCATTTTCTGTTGCTTCTCTATCGTGGGGATTCCATTGTGACTGTTCAGAGGCTGTTGGCGAGCGGTTCCGAGCATGTGATGGGAGGGATGGTCCTAGAACACATCTCCCAGCTAGCAAAAGCTATTGAGTTTTATTCTTTCTCCCATTTTACTTGTCGAGTTAATAGAGCGGCCCATTTTGTGGCCAAAAAAGCTCTTTCATCGAAAGTTCGACCTTTAGTTGACTTTCACTTGTGGATTTATTCTGTTCTCTGACTATGTATCCGGACTTCTGTCTGGTTTTGACTATGTTAAAAAAACAAAAGTTTTAGAGTTTGAGGCTTATATACAACTAAAATTCTAATATAACATTTAATTCAACGACTTTCGTGGTAGTAATATCTACTTGTCCTCTTCTAACTTTTAATGGTGCAGAGTCTCCAAATCTAAGATTTTGGTAGCATCCAATGTATTTTAGTCGCTAAAGTTTAATGTTGATGGGTTGGAATCAGACAAAGGCTGGTAGGGGCCTTCACCAAGTGATGACTCGGTATTTGCACATGTTTTCCCCTTTTGTTTCTTGATTGTTTGAGCTTGAATTACCGTGTCTTTGACCGATTTTACGCTAGGTTGTGTTCCTTTGTCACATTTCAGGTCCTAGCACATAAAGTGAAGCATAGGCGCAAGTTTCAAGTCAATCAGAGATCAATTGACGATTTGGGAGAAGACACTCGGGCATGACCTGAAGAAGAATGGATTTCTACCTCACTTTATGGACAGAGAATCATACAAGCTTGTTATGAAACGAAAGAGGACGAGACTACGAGCGTCTGGGATCAAACGGCGACTGATTCGGAGTCCGGACGAGGGAGAAACGAAGCATTAAACAGAGGCTGAGCAAGCTGCACGGGCAGACCAGGGAGGCGCACGGCCGTGCAACATATAATTCTGGCCGTGCGGGATTGTGCGTGGCCACGCACGGCCGTGCAAGTGACCATTTTGGCCGTGCGGGTTGGTGCGTGGGCACGCACGGGCACAAGTGAAATCCGCACGGCCGTGCAAGGTGCAATCCTGGCCGTGCGAGTTGGTTGAGGTTCGACTTAATGAAACGGCACGTTTTGAGGTGCACGGCCAGAATGGTGATGTGCATGGCCGTGCACCCTGGCCGTGCGAGTCGGGAATTGTTGTTTAAAACCCGATTTTCAGCGAAAGGAAGGGAGGAGAGCTGGGTTTTGGATCCCAAACACCCAAGGGACGAACCCTAGAGAGAGAGAGCGACTTGGAAACATTCTTGGAGCTATTTTGGAGGATTTCTTCGCCATTGGAGCTCGGGAATCAAGCTTGGAGATGGAGATTGAAGATCTAGATCAGATTTCTGCAGTCTCTCTCTTCTCTATGGAGTAACTTCCCTTCACTTAGGTTTTGAGGAACCCTAGTTCCATGAGTTAGGATCTTTCTTGTATGAAGTTTTGGATGCTATATTGTTTGATTATAATCGATTGAGGCATGATTTATTGAGTCAATTGAATCTTGATCAAATTCTCTTGATTTCTGCTTTAACCTATGATAGATAGAATCTGATTAGGTTAAGAGAGCTTCCTTGATTGATAGTGGTGAATTGGTTATACGAGAGTTAGTCAATCTACTGCTTTGTACTGGAATCCAATTCCGGTAGTGGAGTTCTGTGTTCATAGCCTCAGCTTTCTATCCCGGTGAAGGTTAGTTGCCTGTCGGGTAGTTGGACTGAGAGGGCTTGGTCAGCTTAAGAGATTCCAAGCTACTGTCGGATCTTCCGCAGTTTAATCAACAGTAGATCAACCAAAGGTAATTGCAACTTGGACCTAATTGAGGAGCTAGGGGG